ATCGGTGGTTGCTAAAAAGGCTGATATGAAAAGCCGATCAGATGATGCAATACCCGCCAGACAAATTTTCAATGGCCGCTAAAATGTTTCACTACGCGGTCTGAGCGGTTTTCAAAGCTAGCTAGCACCATAGTCCTTTTCAGACAGGAAGGGATTGATTCGTCCAGGTAATCATTTACAATGAGAGTTGAGCAGCAAACAGACAAGCGGAGCAACAAGCAGGAGCAATCATGTGAAACTGTCGCAGCTGTGCTCATCTCACACACGCCACCCGCAACCGAAGTTTAAATTACCCTTCGCTAAGCCCCGCCCCCCTTAGTTACTGTTGCTAAGTCCGACAAACTGTCGACGCTGCCTCTGTCTATCACTGCACTCCCCGGAGAAATATTGTCAAATTAGTTGGAAAAAGCGTTCTCAGAAAGAAGCAGACAGCTTTGCAATTATACATTTGAAGGTTGTATTCAGACTGTCAAACTGACTCAAACGGACGTGAAAAAAATGAAAGATAGAAGCTAACTTACCGATCACACAGTACAAGGTGAACCACCGCATCCCCCGATGATTGAGACAAAAGATAACGATATGAACGATCAACACTGTTCCTGTAAAGCTAGGTAGGCCTCTATTCATTATTACAGTCATTAAAAAGCAGAACAGTCGGGCTTTATTACGTTACATTCAGTAGGAAGTTAGCTAGCGTTAGCTAACTAACATTACATTAGGAACGATCCACAGCCAACATTTTTCTGGATTTATTTTAGGTTTTGGAAAGAGAATAAATCGTACATCTCCTATCAACCTCTCTGGGTAGCAACTGTAACTATCACAAGTGCCTCAGGAACAGCGTTTGACCATATCTTAGAAAAATATAGCCAAAAAAAAGCTAGAAAATGACTCTTTTTACATTAGAGTCAATGGAGCGCAGCCATGAAAAGTGTCGGACTTCAGTTAGAGTGCTATACTGCGCTGTGATTGGCCAGCTGTGTATTCGGGGCGGGGCTTAGCGAAGGGTCAATTGTCTCGACACTCAGCTCATCAGGCAGAGAGAGAATGATTCTTCAGTGTGAGTTTACTGATGCAAAGAGAGGCGCCACTCAATCAGCTGACTGCCTCTCTCGCTGTTTTCATTACAAAACGGAGACCTTTTGCTACATTTCCGCCTCCTGTCCAGATTAAAGCAGTGAATCAGAAGATATTTGTTTGAAAACACTGTTGACCCGGTGGGCAAAACAGAGGACTTTATTCAATGACACACACTCACATTTGGCTTTGTGAGTCGGTCTTATCAGTCATGCAAAGCAAAAACACGATGCTACTGACAGAGTTTTAGTTTTGGTATTTTTATTAAAATATATCTACTGTGTAAATAACACTTAATGGTTAACTTTGCAACAACTCCCAGTCTGTTTTCCACTGCCGCTGTGACACCAAAATGTGTGACCTATCAGTTTCTGTGACCCAAATGGGAAGTTAAGCGCCAGAGGCTTTGTTGACGATGGGAAGCGGTTGCAGTTTGGTTTGGGCACCAAAAGTACTTGGTTATGGTTAGGAAATCATCGTCGTTTGGGTGTAGTCACAGAATCTGATAATTCACAGATTTTGGTGTTACACTGCCGTCTCTCTGTACTCCTGTGTTACTTTCAGTAACAGATCCACTTCGTTGTCGGTCAAAGCAAAAATAAAAATGCCCGGTGTAGTCTTTCGCTAAATCGTCTGCAACTGTGGAGTAGACCATCTGCTTCATGTTTACATTGGCACGCACATGCCCAGTGAAGGCTGCCTGAACGGCCGCTAGATGTGTGTTTTCAGTCGTTTTAATATAGACTCAACTCTGATACGCAGCTAATACGCTGCTGTGTACGGAGAAGATCGTATTTGTTATAAAACTGTTTTAAAAAAACGTAGTAGTGTGGATGTAGCCTCATATTACCCTACTCCTCTCTCTACTAAGAGGTAACACTCTTAAGATCCTCTTTTCTATCATTAATCAGACCTGCTTACTTTGTTAATTGTACTTGGCCTAAGGACAAACAGAATAAAATGAAGAAAGCAGTGACAGTTTGTGTATCAGTCACGTCTGAAAGATACTCAAATTATAATTAAATCAGTGCAAATACCAAACCAGTTACAGCCATCACTTATACATAAATACCTACATAGATTTATTAGGATTTAAAGCTTGTATGCTTGCCCCCACATAACCTTGATATGAAGCCCTGTGTTGTTTGTGGAAGCACTGATAATTACAACAGCAGTGCAGACAACCTAATAAAAGAGTTATAAGTATAACTCTGGACAGCAGGGTTCACCATGTCTCATTAACCTTTGCATTTGAAATGTTCTAGATAAAAGTTTAATGTATCTATGTAATTACTTTGTCAAATTATCTTCTAAAAATAAACTAACAAAAATTAAGTACTTTTTTTTTTTTTTCAAACCACATCTCTGGGGTAAAATGTTTCCTGAAAACAAACACACTTACACTGATCACTTCAAAGCATACAATCTAACGTCGTCTCCTCAAATACCTGAGGCAGCAATACCAAAAATAGTGCAGCAACATTATCAACAAAGTTACTTTTTAAAATATCTTTGGAACAGAGTTTCATGTTGATGTGATGGTATACACAATGGTACAAGTGAATATATTAGTGATTCAAAATTTCAAACCCAAGTTGTCATACTAGGTCTGTCCAATTCCAAAATGAAGTATAGGAATGACTGCTTTATAGTGGTTTCACATATCACCAAGAGCTATAAATCAGACTCTACATTGGTTGAAGTCCAAATCAACAAATCTATCCATTCATTGCTGATGACACAAAAAATGTTGATGAAATCCCAATTGCTTGTATTGTCCATTACTTTTTGAAATGTATCTGCCAAAGCAACTCAGGCAAGCAAACTCATTCTTCATTGTCTGCATGCCAATGCAAGTAGGGGTCCTAATCAGGAGATGCAAAGTGCAGCACTCTAATTGCATCATTAGCTAAACCAATGACTCAGTCACAGTGACTTCAGCCTCCCCCTCCCCCCACCAACTCCCTCCTCTGCCCCATCCAGAAATAGGGAGTCAAGCCTCAAGCTCTTTACTGTACAGCTGCTCAAGCAGAATAATTCTAACATGTTATGTGCAACAGCGCAAAAATGTTAACGTTCCAGAAATATCCAACTCAAAAGCATAGCATTAATGAGACTGTGCCATACAGCCGTCATAATAACACTATTTAAGCACTGATGTTTGTCTTCCATAAAGTGGCAAAGATTAGTTCTCAATTTTGAACCACAGAAATGAAACACATTAGCTCTGGCACACAATGTAGTGATGTTGCCTCAACATGACAGACATGGCCCGATCTAAATTGTTCAGGACTGTCATAGGGCAAACAATTCGCCTGAACTGTACCCACAGGTAACAGTCGTACACAGGCTCAAGCTCCTGATTTGGATGGTTTGGATGTTAATGGGATGTGATTTTAACAGTAAACAGTGCTCTCCTCATGCACTGTAATGGGAGTAGAGCCTTGCAGTCTTTTTTTGGCTCACTTATGTTTGGTTGTACAATGGTGGATGAAAAAAACACTCGAGTTAAGCCCTCCTATTTGGATGACCCCTGACTTGCTGTGGTTCTGCATGCTTCGCTAAGAATGACTAAGAGGCGGCTTACCAGCAATTGAAAATGCAGACAACCAGAAAATATCTTGCTTCGTACTTCCTGTCTCTATAAAGTGGAATAAGTGAAGGTAACACATCTGGGTTCTTCCTGTTTTAAGTGCTCAAACGAAAATGAGAGTATGATCTTCGTTGACATGGGCCTTGTGTCAACGAAGAGATCTCTCAATGCACAAGTACTTTCTTAGATGAATGAGAAACACGACTGTCCATGATAATAAGTCATTCAAATAATAAAACAGCTATACCAACGCGTCCTTACCTCTAGTACCGTGAGATTTCCAGGGGTCGTGTTTATTTAGAGTTTACCGTAGTCACGTTGATGCCTCTGACTGATGGAGGAACTAACCTGGCCTCTGCCGCACTGTATTAGCTACAGTCTTTGCTGCACAGTCTGACTGCGGCTGCTGCTGAGGATGGAGAGCTTCTGGGACCGACGTCTGCACGTCGGGTCACATCTGCAGAGCGGTGTCTCGCTGATTTCACCAGCGTTTTGTGTGTCTGAACGCGGCTCTGAATGGTGAACATGTCACGTTAATGAACGTACCCGCAGGCTAACGTTGATCTATCGTTTCTCTGCTCGGCCAATTTGAGACGCTAATGTCAATCCATTGTGCCATGGATTGCACACGAACTTGAGGCTCAGCACTCAGTCCTCTAACGTTAAGCAAGCTAATCACGGCTAACAAAAAATGATTCCTAGTTGCACACACACACCCACTCATTCTTTTTAATGATGTGACACTTGACCGTGTCGCTGTCGTGTTCATTGACAAACGTTAACGTTACAGTGTCATGTTAATGTCGATGCCGTTAGTGGCTGGTTAACGTTAACTTATCGTGATTACCGTTGCGTAAACTAACATATAATAGCTGGCATGAACATATCTGAACGCTATTCAACCCATTTCGGCAGAACATTACCGTTGATACAAGTGTACATAACCCACGCAATACCTACAGTAACAGGACAAACACCAGTTGTTCTTACCTTTCTCAAAATCCTTCTCTTCCTTTTTGACTGTGTGAAGACCTTCTGGATTTTTGTTGCTCTGACACACAACTACCACGCGCTACATCAGAGGCCCGCCCTGCTAGCTGTGTGCGAGCTGCCATTAGTCAGTCACTATACAACTGCAGCCGAACCGAGGCTTCTCATTGGCCAGACCACCTGCCAATCTATTTGGATTCTGCTTCCCGCGTTCTAAGCAGTACTGCTCACAAAACGTTACATTATGCTGCTTAGGTGGAGGCTTCCACGACAGGTGTGTGGAAACAAGCTCAATGACCTCCAGTATGGGCACACCCACAGAGTAAGACAAACAGTATTTTGTCGCATTCATTTTTTAATGACAGATGAAACAAAAAAGCTGTCAAAATAATGAGCAATTTGTGATTGATGACAATGAAACAAAATCAATTTCATGTCATTTGGAAAGCCTGTACAGTTATTATCTATATTGTATTTCGATGTTAAATAACAAAAAAGGTGCCTTTCATTGCCAAACTAAGAAAGGAAGGAGGTCAGAAGAGAAACATCCTTATGTCACCTAGTGAGAAAGGTTTTATCACTGGTTACTCCTTGTATCAGCTACATTGGATTAGCTGTCTTAGCAGTGTCAGACTTATATAGCAGTCAGCGCTGCTTGCAGGATGAAAGTGAACACAGTCAGTCTTTCATAATAAGAGGAGCCTTGACTTGAGCTGCAACCTCAGCCCCCATAAGTTCTTCTACAATCGTCAGGGCAAACTCGAAACTGGTTCCTGGCCCACGGCTGGTGATGTAATGTCCATCCTTTTGTACTCGAGCCTCTGAATATTTATAGTGGTCTAAAAAAAGACAAAGAGCCATACCATGAGGATTATCACAATATGAGAGCTTCAAGCTACAGACTAAAAGCCACACATGTCTGTATTATAAGCACTTTTACACAGATAATCTATCACCATTTCAACTGACCCCTGTCTAATATGTTTTGTCAAATTGCTGCATCGGCTTTCACCTGAGTGTTGTGCTCTCCTCTACTGCATAATGACATGACTTTCTATAGGCAAGAAAGAGCTAGTACAGCACCATCTGCTGCCCTTTACAAATAATTACATCCGAGTTAGAGCTGCAAACGTTAAAGCCACTAGCTGTTCATTTTAACACGTTTTCCACCCTTTTGTTTGCATAAAGTGTTTTTTTTACCTCCAGCCATCATCTTCTCCTTCATGGCAGGGTGTGTAGTGACTGTGCTACCGTAACCGACACCATGTGCCAGAAGTGCAGTAGGACCTGCAGAGAGCAAAGCGGTTTATGGTTCATGTAACAGCTTCTTGTTATAAAGTGACACTTGTGTCGGTCCAGGTTTTCATCTTTATGCATTTAAAATGGTTACAAAATATGAATCATACAGCCAAAGACAAAAAAATGCAAAAAATGCTGCATTTAGCATTTGGAATTACAGGTAGAACTATGAATGAATTACATAAGCACAAAATGTTTGATGACAACACTATGTCCTAAAGATGCCCTAAAATGTTCCATTGTTTCTAAGAATGAACATATACAGTATACTGTTTCAGCCTCTCTCCAAAGACTCTGCACCACATTGAAAAGAGAAAAGGAAAAAAAGACAGGCTGAAGACATTGAGTGCTGCTGCATTAACTTTGGCAATGTCGTAGCACTGCAGTGAGCTCATCCAAAAACTGTTAATAAATAGAAAGTTATTGATTATTCTACTTGGATGCCTTCCCATGTGGTCTAAAGATTACACTTTCCCCTGGCAGAACAGCAGACTGCCAGTTAAAGCCAAGCTACTCCTGTTACAGCCAGTCCCCATCCAGAGGACGCCAGTCTGGGAGAGAGAGACCTTCTGAGAACCACATTCAGACAACAAGGCAGACGTGGTTAGAAGGGTGATGATAACCATCTTTCTATCATCTAATGAATCTGTTTTGTGGACATAACCTTGCATTCGTATAACCAATATTAGCCCTTATTGGTCACTGGTTTTTGAATGGACCTTTTCCTATAATAACAGTTTTCATGTTAGGACAGCATAATAAGTCTTGCAACTGGCCCTCGTGCTGGCAGGTTCATTAAACGGTATATTCCTGTGAGGATTTTAGTCATTTTCTAGGACACCCTTCAATCCACTTTGCTGCATTGGTCCCTGTCCCTATTCGGAATGTCCTTCCAGTGTCCTTTCTCTGCATACGGAGGCTGTCAAATAAAATGTCAGTGCTTGTGGGTTCACTCAGGGACAGTTATTAATCAAACCCTCACACTTTCATTCCAAAATGCCAAAAAGGGGGTCACTCATGACCATAAATTAATGAAGCATGTCGTTTGTTAAGAGTGTATATTTTTTAAAATGTGGTTGTGGTGTGTGATAAACTCATTTAAGGGTACATCCCGTTACTAAAATACCAGAAAATTCACTGCATCCACTGCCATGCGCATATATAAAAACTGCACCTTTTTTTTCCTGTCCAAGGTCTTTAATTCTAGTTGCGAGCAAATCCAAATCCCATTTACCGGCACAACATTAGCTTGGTATGTTTAAAACCACAATATAATATCTTTAATGTTGTTTTTAGTTAAAAATGTTTATGGGTCACACGGAAGCATAGTTCACGGTATATTAATTTATATCACTGGTTTGATTTGATATGGAAAATGACTGTGCGTACATTTATTGCTCAATTACTTATGTAGATGCTATTTTAGAAAGCAAGCTCAAGAAAAACTGTACTGTGTAGGTTGGGTAAGTTTCATCTATTTGACTAAAAGCAACAACATGATGGTCATATTTGAGGTCATGTCATTTTTAAACTTTAACCCATAGATTTAACCATAGAGGTTGGCCCTGTATAATTCTGACTTTGCTTTGTTTTCACAAAACGTACCTGCACAGATGGCTGCAATCAGTCCTTTTCTGCCATCCTGATCCTTAAGCACCTCCTTCACGGCAGGAGACTGCAAGACAGCATGGAAACCAGGTGCACAGTGAGTCATTTGCAGGCTATATGATTGCACAGTGTATATACTGACTATGGTTAAATCACTGAAACAAACTGGCAATATTTTAAACACATCAAGAGTAACCCATCAGTGTTTCAATACACACAGATTTACTAAACAAACAGTAACAATAATATTTCAACTAAACATGGTTTTTAAAAATTTAAAATATTGACTTTCATGTTAAATGTTTTACTAGTGTTTGAGAACACTAAAAGGGTGAGCAATTATTCCTCTATACCACCCAGAGGGATTTTTTACATAAAAGTCTCTGTGCTCTTTTCACTGGTTTTAAGTAGGTGGGGAGATTGATGTCACACACTTGAATGCACCAATCACAATTTAGCTAAATTTGCATCAGAATTAGATGACAGTTGGTGAACTGTTGCCATAAGACTGTATAAAAGAAGTGAATGTAGCCACCGTGACATCACCCATTGGTTTGTGTACCGTCAAGTTGAAGCCTCAAGTTTGGCATTTTGGCCGTCGCCATCTTGTTTTTTTGGAACCAGAAGTGACCATATTTGCATGCGACGGTGGAGCTGGGGAGGAATACCCAGTGCAATACCAGACAGGTTGCTGTGGTAGCGACGTGTGAATCACAAGGTAGTCACACCCTAAAGCATACTCTGCTTTATTGTCTATTTTACTCTAAATAGGGCCATAACTTACAAAATGAACATCATGCTGCAAGACCAGAAACTCATAAGAAAAGTGTTTACTGAGGTAATGAATCAAGTGAGGAGTGGGGTAATTTTCTCATAATCTTACATACAATCAGACCTTTTTTTGCAACCGGGGAGCCGCCCCCTGCTGGCCATTTGAAAGAATGCAGATTTAAGGCATTTCCACATTGGCTTCACTTTTCAGACCCAGAGGTTCCCATTTGGTTGTTGCTTACTATGCTGGGCAACTGTCAATCAAACCTGATGAAACCACACCCACATGGTCCTGAAGAGGTAGGTGAGTTGAGTTTTTGACTGGTAAACTCTTAACAAATTACACACAAGAATGTTATTGAGAGAGGGTACAGAGAGAGGGTGAGAGAGGACGCTGGCGTGGCTTGTTCGCCGCTTCTCTAACCAAAAATCCTTTACAGTGCAACATTTGTTTAACATTATAGCCTATAGTACAACGTGTATCGACCAGTATTACGTCTAGTAAGTTATACTAGTGTCGTTCCTCACTAGTAAACACTGGATTTGTATGTATAGGATATGTATTTCTGTACGGATTCTGCCGACTCTAGCGGATGTCTGCTTACCAGTTTTCCATCGCTCGAAGATTCCCGTAATCTGTCCATCACTGCCTGTTTTCCATGAGACTTTCACCCAAAGTCACCGCTGATGATCGTGAGATCTCCAACCAAAGTTACAATTTGCTTACTGTGTCTGATGGCTCTCTTCTGTGCATCACGGGCACTGCTAACGGCTAACAGACCACTCTCCACTGGCATGATATTGAACTACTCCGTCACTCAGCTGAAGGAATTCAACAACTACGCCACTCCATCGTGCATATCGGTCATTAAACAACTTGGACTCCTTCACCGGCTCCATTACATTCACAGAAGTAGCAGTCGAAAGTTTGTTTTCTCCCGGTCTCCCTGGTCTGGCGCACGCCCCGTCGCACCTCCAACACGTCATCAAAGTGCTGCCACTCGTAGGACTAGTAACGCTGGAGTTTCCATGACAATGCTACGCGCTGACCGGGATGGAAAACGTGGAGTGGATTTCAGTCTACTCCGGCCAATACAGAGACACAATGCTCCATCGACTATCAAGATTGAACTGTTTAATGCACAATCCATCACAAACAAATCTTGCCTCATACATGACCATATTCTGGATAAGTGTTTGGATTTGATATGCCTTACAGAAACCTGGCACCAACTAGATGTTTTTTCTGTATTAAATGAGACCTGTCCTCCTGGTTACTGCTACCTATAGAAAGCCCGCAGCACAGGGCACAGTGGTGGTCTGGCTGTCATCCACCGAAGTGATCTGGGCTTCTTCCCTAAATTCCCTGCCTGAGCTGTCTTCTTTTGAATGCCTTGCATTTAAATGTAAGCCTCCTCTCTCTACAACGATACTTCTCATCTACCGACCACCCAAACCAAACGCATCTTTCATCCCAGAGATGTCCAACCTTTTCTCAACATTCTGTACAATGTCTGCTAATATTATAGCCCTTGGAGATATGAATATTCATGTCAACTCCCCCACCTGCCGTTTTGCAGCAGAATTCCTCCAATTACTCGACTGTTTTAATCTGGCACTACTTGTTGATGTCCCCACTCACACCAGGGGATACACTCTCGACCTAGTCATTACAAACTCATCTCAGCAATTTTCTGGTCTATGATCTGGGTGTTTCCAACCACAAGGCTATCTCCATGAAGATGTCTTCTCCGTCCACCCTCATCAGAACAGTCACTTTCTCCCAATCAGCCCCCGGTACACAGATGAGCTACGGAAAATGAAGGCAGCTGGGCGTGCCATCGAGCGGAGATACAAAGCCACAGGTCTCACTGTGCACAAGCAAGCTTTTCGGGAACACCAAAAGGACTACTCAAAGTCACTTACAGAGGCACGGTCACAATTCTACTCAAACATCAGTTTTCAGAAACAGTCCCGGAAACTCCAAGCAGCTGTTCTGTACTGTAAATCATCTCCTCAAACCACAAATCCCCTCACTCACAGAAACTACAGAAGAGCACTGTAATAATTTCCTGGCCTTTTTCAAATCAAAAGTAGACTCAATCCACTCTTCCTTTCCTGGATCCTCAACACTACCCGCCCCAACTGTCCACTCACAGCCTGCAATCTCTCAGACCCTACAGTGCTTTCCAGAAATCACAGGAAGAGTTTGAAAAGATAATCAAAAAGATGAAACCCACCACCTGTGCCCTCGACCCATTTCCAACAGCTCTAGTGAAAGCAAACACTTCTGCCCTAAGCCATCTGATTGCCACTCCCTCCAGTCTGGCAACGTTCCACCTGCCCTTAAAACTGCCATAATCAGACCAATTCTCAAAAAACCCACCCTTGATCCAGATGCATTTGCAAATTACAGGCCCATTTCCAATCTCCCATTTCTCTCCAAAGTACTGGAAAAAGTTGTTGCCGCCCATCTCCAGGACCACCTCAAACATAACCTTTTTAAAAAATTCCAGTCTGGTTTCCGCTCTGTTCACAGCCCTGGTTAGAGTCACAAATGACCTACGAATTGCAGCTGATGTTGGTTCACCTTCCCTCCTCATACTCTTCAGTCTGTCTGCTGCTTTTGACACTGTGGATCATGACATACTTCTCAACCGGCTACACCAAACCACTGGACTCGCTGACACTGCTCTTAACTGGTTTAAATCATACCTCACTAACAGAACAGAGTACATTTCACTTGGAAATGCAAGGTCCCGGCAACACACAGTTACCTGCGGAGTCCCCCAGGGGTCAGTCCTTGGCCCCATCCTCTTCACTATTTACATCCTTCCCCTCGGTCACATCATCAGTCGCCTTGAAGTCTACTTTCACTGCTATGCTGATGACACACAACTGTAAATGAAATCGGACACACACACACACACACACACACACACACACACACACACACACACACACACACACACACACACACACACACACACACACACACACACACACACACACACCACTGCAGCTTCATCACCATAATCATCTTCTTCAACACTCACCGCCTGTCTGGAGGAGATAAAGGCATGGATGAAACAACTTCCTCCAGCTTAACAGCTCCAAAACTGAGGCAATTTTTGTTGGTACCTCACATCAAGTCCAGTCATCCTCCAACAACTCACCATTGAATCCCATATCGAAAACCTCTGAAAGACTTCTTTCTACCATCTCAGAAATTTAGCAAAACTTCATTCCACACTCACCTTAGCTGACGCTGAAAAACTGGCCCATGCCTTTGTCTCCTCCAGATTGGATTACTGTAATGCACTTCTCATTGGGATCCCTAACAAGAGTCTGCAGAGACTGCAGTATATTCAGAACAGTGCTGCAAGGATCCTGATGAGAGTGCATAAGTACGACCACATCACACCCATTCTCCATTCACTCCACTGGCTTCCCGTTTCTGCTAGGATTGAATACAAGTTCTCCCTTCTCACCCACCAGTGCATCTATGGAAATGCCCCCCCTACCTGAAAGAACTACTCACCCCTCTATCTACAACACGATCCCTCCGCTCAACAAACTCAAACCGCCTCCTTCTCCCCAGGACTAAGCTCAGCACCATGGTTGATCTGGCTTTCTGTTCTGCCACTCCTCAGATCTGGAATGCCCTCCCCGACCATCTGAGGGCACCTCAGACTACTGAGATCAACATTTTTTAGCAGAACGTGTGAGTTTTAATTAACCTTGCAAGCTGTTGCATTACCTATTTGTATTTTATATTGATATTTTTTACCTTGCTTTTATAATAATAATAATCTTTATTTGTAGAGCACTTTCAAAAACAAGTTACAAAGTGCTTTAACAAGTGTAAAGACAATAATACCCAAAAGACAATAATACAAGATAAAAGCATGAAAAAATTGAAAAGACTAAAATACACGTTTAAGATAAATATAAAATTAGTAAAATAGAATAAAATAAAAGGGATAAAATAAAGTCAAATAAGATCGGGAAAGGCTCTCCTATAAAAGTATGTTTTAAGAAGGGACTTAAGAGTTCACTGACTCAGCTGACCTGATTTCCTCAGGCAGGCTGTTCCAGAGCCTCGGGGCCCTGACAGCAAACGCTCTGTCCCCTTTAGTTTTCAGTCGAGACTCTGGAACAGACAACAGACCTCTGCCTGAGGATCTCAAGGTGCGTGCTGGTGTGTATGGGACTAAAAGGTCAGAAATATAACAAGGCGAGAGGCCGTGAAGAGCTTTAAAAGTTATCAATAGAATTTTAAAGTCAATTCTAAAA